CTATTCAAATCCTTTGCCCAGTTTTTGATTGGGTGTCTGTTTTTGTTGTTGTTGAGTGAATTTGTATATTCTGGATATTAACCTCTTATGAGATATATGATTAGAATATAAGTTTCCTGAGGAGTTGGTTCATATGAGCCAATGGTAAGACAAAAAAACCTGTCTTAAGGTTATTTTAACTTCCCAAAGCACTTGGCACCTTGTAGATGTTCAGCGAATAATCCATGAAAGAATAGGCGGTAGGTCAGAGGTGAATTGAAACTACGTTAGCAAAAGGTATGTAAAGAATATTTTCCAGGTAAGTCCAACACCCGTTACCTCTGGAGGGAAGCCAGGGAATCTGTGAGCTCCAAAGGATCACCTTGGAGATAAAGAGGAGTGATCAGAGGGTGAATCAATTTTTTACACGTATTAAAAAGAAGGCAAGGAGAGTCCCACTTCCCAAACATCCCCTGAAATAGACACGCTGAAGGTCAGGTTATGGGAGGTCAGATGGACAGGGTGAGGGCAGTCCTAGGGCAGAGGGGCACTCACCTGAACATTTGAAAGCCCCCCCCCAAGAGTGAAAGGAAGCAGAGCACAGTATGCAAGACTTCTGTGCCCAAACGTATGCCAATGGGGCCCTTTCCTAAGAGGGTGGGAGAGGGGACCCCTGGAGCTACAGACATCCAGCTGGCAGGTGGAGCCAGTGAACGACTGAATCCTTGAGCTCCTAGACAAACATAACATTTTGGGACATCTCTATCTCCTGGGAAAACAGGATGTGGTAATTGTAGGCTCAGGAAAAGGGGGTGCCACCTAGAGATGTAAATGGGGATTCGGGTGCTTTTCCTTGCATAGGGTTGCTGTGAGGATAAAGGAGGTAGGAGTCCTGCCCAGAACTAGGCCGATTGCTGCGGGTCAGAGCAGCTTTGGGCTCTATAGCAGAGGGCATAGGGGGAAAGGTCTGTTTTCCATCAGGCAAGTGGAACACTGAGCCTTTAGCCTCATCATGGGTTGCTCTGGGGGTGGATGGGGTGGGCTCGACTTGTTTTCTCTTTGCTTCAGTAGAACACCTTCTCCAGGTATGCATTCAGAAACATCCCAGTGGGGTCCAGCTTTTCTCGGATGGCACAGAACTTTGGAAAGGCAGGATACATTTTCTCAAAATCCTTCCGGGTGCAGTTGTGGGCCTGTGGAAGCAACCAGATACAACAGGCCTCATTCCCTGGAGCTGGCATCTCAGTGGGGCTGCAAACAGGCACCCCTGTGTCCATGTGCCTGCATGTGTGATACCCCTACCCCCAAGCACACACAAACATGCATGCACC